AAAAAGTGACTGTCTGCACTTCAAATGTCACTTTTTTCACATTACCATACTTCATTGGGAACTTGTACATTTTAATGTAAACAATTATATTTCGTATCATTTGAGGTCAGATACATGTCCTAGTATAATATTATGTCTGTGATATCATTTTGGAAGATGTCACGCACATGATTATATGAGTTTGTTAGAAAAACCACTTTCCTAAGCTCCTAGCGCTTGAAAACGCGCTGTATAGCGTTCTAACAGGACGAAGCGCAACACTGTACAGGCGCACGCCACGCACGAATGTAAACAAACTTAGTTAGAGCACTTTTGAAAAAAAGTCATTGTCTGCACTTCAAATGTCACTTTTTTTCACATTACCATACTTCATTGGGAACTTGTACATTTTAATGTAAACAATTATATTTCGTATCATTTGAGGTCAGATACATGTCCTAGTATAATATTATGTATGTGATATCATTTTGGAAGATGTCACGCACATGATTATATGAGTTTGTTAGAAAAACCACTTTCCTAAGCTCCCAGACGCTTGAAAAGCGCTGTATAGCGTTCTAACAGGACGAAGCGCAACACTGTACATGGGCACACTGCACGAATGTAAACAAACTTAGTTAGAGCACTTTTGAAAAAAGTCATTGTCTGCACTTCAAATGTCACTTTTTTTTCACATTACCATACTTCATTGGGAACTTGTACATTTTAATGTAAACAATTATATTTCGTATCATTTGAGGTCAGATACATGTCCTAGTATAATATTATATATGTGATATCATTTTGGAAGATGTCACGCACATGATTATATGAGTTTGTTAGAAAAACCACTTTCCTAAGCTCCCAGACGCTTGAAAAGCGCTGTATAGCGTTCTAACAGGACGAAGCGCAACACTGTACATGGGCACACTGCACGAATGTAAACAAACTTAGTTAGAGCACTTTTGAAAAAAGTCATTGTCTGCACTTCAAATGTCACTTTTTTTCACATTACCATACTTCATTGGGAACTTGTACATTTTAATGTAAACAATTATATTTCGTATCATTTGAGGTCAGATACATGTCCTAGTATAATATTATATATGTGATATCATTTTGGAAGATGTCACGCACATGATTATATGAGTTTGTTAGAAAAACCACTTTCCTAAGCTCCCAGGCGCTTGAAAAGCGCTGTATAGCGTTCTAACAGGACGAAGCGCAACAGTGTACATGTACACACTGCACAAATGTAAACAAACTTAGTTAGAGCAGTTTTGAAAAAAAGTGACTGTCTGCACTTCAAATGTCACTTTTTTCACCTTCATTGGGAACTTGTACATTTTAATGTAAACAATTATATTTCGTATCATTTGAGGTCAGATACATGTCCTAGTATAATATTATGTCTGTGATATCATTTTGGAAGATGTCACACACAGATTATATGAGTTTGTTAGAAAAACCACTTTCCTAAGCTCCTAGGCGCTTGAAAAGCGCTGTATAGCGTTCCTAACAGGACGAGCGCAAACCGTGTACATGGGCACACTGCACAAATGTAAACAAACTTAGTTAGAGCAGTTTTGAAAAAAAGTGACTGTCTGCACTTCAAATGTCACTTTTTTTCACATTACCATACTTCATTGGGAACTTGTACATTTTAATGTAAACAATTATATTTCGTATCATTTGAGGTCAGATACATGTCCTAGTATAATATTATGTCTGTGATATCATTTTGGAAGATGTCACGCACATGATTATATGAGTTTGTTAGAAAAACCACTTTCCTAAGCTCCTAGGCGCTTGAAAAGCGCTGTATAGCGTTCTAACAGGACGAAGCGCAACAGTGTACATGGGCACACTGCACAAATGTAAACAAACTTAGTTAGAGCAGTTTTGAAAAAAAGTGACTGTCTGCACTTCAAATGTCACTTTTTTTCACATTACCATACTTCATTGGGAACTTGTACATTTTAATGTAAACAATTATATTTCGTATCATTTGAGGTCAGATACATGTCCTAGTATAATATTATATATGTGATATCATTTTGGAAGATGTCACGCACATGATTATATGAGTTTGTTAGAAAAACCACTTTCCTAAGCTCCCAGACGCTTGAAAAGCGCTGTATAGCGTTCTAACAGGACGAAGCGCAACACTGTACATGGGCACACTGCACGAATGTAAACAAACTTAGTTAGAGCACTTTTGAAAAAAAGTCATTGTCTGCACTTCAAATGTCACTTTTTTTCACATTACCATACTTCATTGGGAACTTGTACATTTTAATGTAAACAATTATATTTCGTATCATTTGAGGTCAGATACATGTCCTAGTATAATATTATGTATGTGATATCATTTTGGAAGATGTCACGCACATGATTATATGAGTTTGTTAGAAAAACCACTTTCCTAAGCTCCCAGACGCTTGAAAAGCGCCTGTATAGCGTTCTAACAGGACGAAGCGCAACACTGTACATGGGCACACGTACCGAATGTAAACAAACTTAGTTAGAGCACTTTTGAAAAAAGTGATTGTCTGCACTTCAAATGTCACTTTTTTCACATTACCATACTTCATTGGGAACTTGTACATTTTAATGTAAACAATTATATTTCGTATCATTTGAGGTCAGATACATGTCCTAGTATAATATTATGTATGTGATATCATTTTGGAAGATGTCACGCACATGATTATATGGAGTTTGTTAGAAAAACCACTTTCCTAAGCTCCCAGACGCTTGAAACGCTGTATAGCGTTCTAACAGGACGAAGCGCAACACTGTACATGGGCACACTGCACGAATGTAAACAAACTTAGTTAGAGCACTTTTGAAAAAAGTGATTGTCTGCACTTCAAATGTCACTTTTTTCACATTACCACACTTCATTGGGAACTTGTACATTTTAATGTAAACAATTATATTTCGTATCATTTGAGGTCAGATACATGTCCTAGTATAATATTATATATGTGATATCATTTTGGAAGATGTCACGCACATGATTATATGAGTTTGTTAGAAAAACCACTTTCCTAAGCTCCCAGACGCTTGAAAAGCGCTGTATAGCGTTCTAACAGGACGAAGCGCAACACTGTACATGGGCACACTGCACGAATGTAAACAAACTTAGTTAGAGCACTTTTGAAAAAAAGTCATTGTCTGCACTTCAAATGTCACTT